ATTTATTTATTTATAAATGTTTAATCTTCTTTAAAAACTTTTAAGAATACGGATTCTCACAATTTGAGGACTGGAAGCTGGCCCGAATTGGGCCATAATTAGGCTCAAATTGCCAATGTTTTCTGCTTTCGCTGTTGCTGGTATGCTTATGATTTTTGATGTTGCAAGGATTTCACATTTATCCAAATGATCCCAAATTTGGATATGTCGCAGTAGACATTCTAATGAAAAACTTTCATGAAGAAAGACAATTCATTAGAGCATTGGAATTAGGCCCGAATTGCTGCTATAAGCTTTTTGCTGGCGCTGCGCATCTGGTATTTTCAGCTCTTAGGATTCCACATTTGTCCAAATAAACCCAAATTTGGATATATTGCAGTAGACATAGAGATGAATAACTTTCATGAAGAGCAAAACTTGATCCGAGCGCTGGAAGTTGAATTTTGGACTCACTCCATCTGACTGCAGCAACGCATGTCTAGCCATATTTTGGCCATTTTGATGTTCATGGAACATTATCTTCCATTTTAGGCAAAAATATGATTTTTGGTACAAACAAGTACGTAATGCAATTTTATTTAATTTATTCTATTTTTTTTTTATAATTTTCTTCAGGTGAAGAAAACAAATATAACGCGTTACAAGAGTGGTATATAGTAGAAAAACAGAAACGACACTACAAAATATTAAAAGTACAAATTTTTTTTATAATTTTCTTCAGGTGAAGAAAACAAATGTAACGCGTTACAAGAGTGGTATATAATAGAAAAACAGAAACGACACTACAAAATATTAAAAGTACAAAATGAGGCATTACAGACATATTATGATCATTTGTGAAGTCGATAAGAAGGAATAGCGATTAGACGTTTGGCCCTTGCCACCGTAATGCCAAATGCCTCACTCATGTCCAATTCTTCTGGCAACATGTTATTTGGAAGTTCCCAATCAAAACAATGGACAAGTTGTGCCAACATTAACTGGACCACAGTGATCCCTAACTGAATTCCTGGGCAACGTCTTCGGCCAGAGCCAAATGGGATAAGCTGAAAGTGATTTCCTCTAACATCAACGTCGCTACCCTCAAATCTTTCTGGTATGAACTCCTCTGCATCGGTCCAAGCACTCAGGTCTCTCCCGATTGCCCAAGCGTTTATGATGACGCGTGATTTTTTGGGTATGTGGTAGCCATTGACGGTGCAGTCTTCAGTGGCTGCATGAGGAACCAACAATGGCGCAACTGGGTGTAGCCTCAGGGTTTCCTTCACGACCATGCCCAAGTAGTCCAATTTCTCCAAGTCTGATTCCTCTACCATTCTCTCCAATCCAACAACATCTTCTAGCTCCTTTTGGACTTTTTTCATTGCTTTTGGATGCCTCATGAGCTCGGCCAGTGCGTAGTCGACCGTTGTTGATGACGTTTCCATGGAAGCCACCAGCATGTCCTGCAAAGAAATTTGCCAATTTTTTTAACATTAAGTGGTGTAACAGACACAGACAAAACTATATACACATGATAAATAACAAAAGGGACATGTATAACAGATCAATTTAAACAAAATTCCACCTAATTAATGGTTCAGATTCACAAATCTTAAACCTCGACATGTAAAATTTTCTCACAAGAAACTGTTTCGTTTTACTTCGAGCAATTCTAGAATAAAAGGACAAATAATTAAAATGATATGCAAGGATTTGGTGTTTAATACCACCATGCCTATATGTTTAAGTTTTTGTGTATACTAACCATTATTATCGCTTTGATATGAGGGCGTTCAATTCGGTATTCAGATTCTTTGGATCCCATGAAGCCCACCATGACATCAACAAAGTCTTTAGTCCTTTCTCCGTCGTTAGATTGAATATGTTCCTCAATGATCTTTTCAAAGAAGACATCAAACGCCTTGTTAACAGACTTCATCCGCTTTGTGAACCCTTGGAGGTCAAGGGGAGCTATAAAAGGAATGTAATCAGCCAAGTTAGGGGCGCCCGCCAATTGAACGCCCTCTTTGATCACAGACCTGAAACCCCTCGCATCAAAATCCTCATCCCTGTACTTCTTCCCAAGCACCATCCGGCAGCTCATGTCCACGCTGAGAGATGAGACAATGTCACTCAGATCAACAGCAACACGTCCCTTATAGGCAGCATCTCGAATAGACTCAACACAGAGAGTAACCTCTTCTCGCCTCATGGACTTAAAAGAGTTGATTTTGTGGTTGCTGAGCAACTCAAGGGTGCACATCTTCCGCATGTTGCGCCAATAAGAGCCATATTCAGCGAAGCTCAAGTTCCTTTGCCCAAAAAGGATGTGCTTTGCACCTTCATGAGGTGGCCTGCTAGCAAACACAAGGTCGTGTGTTTTCAGGAACAGCTTGGCAGCTTGTGGAGATGAGATAACAATGGTGGGCATAAGGCCTAAGCGCATGTACATGACGTCGCCATATTTTTGGGCTAGTCGATGAAGATCCTTGTTAGGGAACTCCCCTGATAGCAAGTGAAGGCTTCCAAAAATGGGAAAACCTCTTGGACCAGGAGGTAACCTCTTCTTCTTGTTCTTGCACCATGCTTGCAGGATGTGAACAAGTGCAAGCAACCCAATTGTTGCCCAAATCCAAACCATTGCTCTTCTGGGGATATGATCTCAAATGGTTGAGCTATATCTAGCTGAGTGTGTTTATGTCTCTCTATACTTCTTCTATTTATATACTTTGTTTAGATCTTCCAAACACCTAGACTATTTGTATGTGGGCTTTTCAAATAGGATTATATTCTTTGTCAGAGGTCGAGAATAAAATAAAGCCTAAAATAAATGTATCATCAGAGGAGAGGAAACTCCATTTTAAGACCTCTTCAAGGAAGTCGTTGTTTTTTTCTTTTTTTAATAATTAGTTGGATTAAAGAAAAAATAAAGGGTATGAACATGAAGAGACGTAGATAAATGTTTCTTGATGCACAAGTAGGCGGCAAAATTATTACTATACAATAGCACAGTTGTTGGGATATGTCCAATTGGGCCATTCCAAGTCCCTTGATCTTTTCTTACCATTAGAGTAAATCTATATCTCCAATTGAAAATTTTGTCTTGTTTCATACCGACATACAGAGATCAAGACTAGAACTCTTTAGTCAATATTGTCATGTCAATTTTTTGGTCAGAATATTCTCATGCGCTTTTTTTTTCTTCAGAATATTGTCATGTCACTTGTGATCTAGAATTCAAGAAACCTCTATTAATATCAAGACATAAATTATTAGATGACTTAAATTATGTTCTTAAAAATTTAACATTCGCTCGATCTTTTAATCAACAAAGATGAGGGATTTGAATTTGAGATTTCTGTCAATATTTGAAAAAAGACAAATACCAAGAGTTAGTTTCAACTTTTTTAGAAAATGCTATTAAGTTAGTACCATCTTGAACAATGATGTTAATCAACTTTTTGTTATCAAGTTATGACATGGGAAAAAAATATAATACCTAGAGAGCCAGCATTTGAATATAAGTGATATTCTAAACTACAATGGAAGGGGGTCTCTCAAAAACCAAAAAAACTTATATGAAACTGGGATAGCAAAAAGTGTTATCCCCGTTGCATGAGAGTTTCTCTCCTCAAAAACACACTATCAAGGTGTCATGAGAGTTCGAACGTGAGACTAGGGATTATCATTTGGCCCATGGGTGGAAGTGAGTAGCCCAAGGGTTTAGGGCCAAAGCCCGACCTAACCTGATGGTTAGGCCCACTCGACCCAGTTCATTCTAAGATTGGCTAATTCAGTTACCCCGCTTTAGTTAACCAGAACTTTTTGAAATATGTTTTTAGTTCAATTCTATGATTGTTTGCTCTGGAGAGTGAGGAATTGAATTTGGAATCACTTTCAACATTGAGATGAGAAATACCGATACACCAATAGCTAGTTGGTAAAAACATGTTTGTTGTCTTTCCAATAACAAGTATTATTGTATTGTGGTTTTGTTATGGGAGACAATGTCACCTAAAGAAGAACAAGAATAAAAAATCTACGATGAAAACATAATATCCAAGTCAAATGATGGATAACTCGTCAATGTAATTACTGTCTCTTTAAAATATCATTTTCAATTTGCCATTGTTTTTCCTTTAACAATTTAAAGGAAATATATATATATGTGTGTGTGAAAATTAAAAAAATTATCCCTTCTTTTCCTTTCATTTTGGAAAATATCTCAACAAAAAAAAACAATTATAATGTGTATTCGGAGATAAGGGGACGTGAAATTTGACAATGAAGAAAGAACTTTAGTGCCAGTTTTATAACTGATTTTGAACATGGTAGTGGGACTCAAATGAATCATAAGGAAATAAAAAAAAGAGGCGAATAAAAACAAAACGGAATAACAAGGGACTTGTAGCTCAAGTGGCTAAGAGCATTTATCTGTGCTCCCAAAATTCTAGGTTTGATTTTCCCAATATCGATTGTATAAAATGATAAAATCTGGAAATATGAAGTGTTTGAGAGAATGAGAATGACAGAATTTTCTGGTTATTCCAACTTTTTTTTTTTGTTTTTTTGGTATAACTTACCGCAGGAATTTATACAAGAAGTAGGCTTGCTAGCCAAGCTCAATATTAATTACAAGTAGGTAGATTGCAGCTAGTCTTGAGCTCCAAATCCTTGAGCCCCTAATCCTGGCCTCCCAAAGTCAAGCCAACCTACAGTTGGTCTAGCTAACATAAAAAGCAAAAAAAACAAAACAAAACAGAGAAAGGGTACTATCAAGTCTTTGATAAGCTAGCATTTAAAATGGCTAATATCAAGTCATTTTTACTACGTCGTATCATTCCGCGTTCATGTCACGAACCCATTTCATTAATAGTGCCCAAGAACTTAAACCTAATCCAACCTATATAACTGTATCATGTTCTCGTTGACTCACCTATATTTTGAGCTAAGAACAATCAAGTTTCCTGTATTTCTAAAATTTCACATATACAGTAGTTACAAAATGAACACATATATGTAACTACTCATGCGCTTGACAAGTAACTATAAAGCCTTGGTATAATAGACATGGTGACTTGTGTTGCTCTCTTTCAGTCAGCTTGCCTACAGCAACTGCAGGAATTTGTCATATCTACATATAAAGAATGGGACATGGGGTGCCTGATGTTTACAATTAATATAGTCTGCTTATTTGTATCTTGTTTCAAGAAATCTATCCAAGTTGTAAACCAAAGGAGAAAGAGACCCTCAACTTAAGTACGTAACGCGATTTTATTTAATTTCTTCAATTTTGTTTTATAATTTTCTTCAGGTGAAGAAAACAAATGTAACGCATTACAAGAATGTATATGGTAGAAAAACAGAAACGATACAACAAAATATTAAAAGTACAAAATGAGGCATTGCAGACATATTATGATCATTTGTGAAGTCGATAAGAAGGAGTAGCGATTAGATGTTTGGCCCTTGCCACCGTAATGCCCAACGCCTCACTCATGTCCAATTCTTCTGGGAACATGTTATTTGGAAGTTCCCAATCAAAACAATGGACAAGTTGTGCCAACATTAACTGGACCACAGTGAGCCCTAACTGAATTCCTGGGCAACGTCTTCGGCCAGAGCCAAATGGGATAAGTTGAAAGTGATTTCCTCTAACATGAACGTCGCTACCCTCAAATCTTTCTGGTATGAACTCCTCTGCATCGGTCCAAGCACTCGGGTCTCTCCTGATTGCCCAAGCGTTTATGATGACGCGTGATTTTTTGGGTATGTGGTAGCCATTGACGGTGCAGTCTTCAGTGGCTGCATGAGGAACCAACAATGGCGCAACTGGGTGTAGCCTCAGGGTTTCCTTCACTACCATGCTCAAGTAGTCCAATTTCTCCAAGTCTGATTCCTCTACCATTCTCTCTAATTCAACAACATCTTCTAGCTCCTTTTGGACTTTTTTCATTGCTTTTGGATGCCTCATGAGCTCGGACAGTGCCCAGTCCACCGTTGTTGATGACGTGTCCATGGAGGCCACCAGCATGTCCTGCAAAGAAATTTGCCAATTTTTTTTTACATTAAGTGGTGTAACAGACACAGACAAAACTATATACGCACGATAAATAACAAAAGGGACATGTATAACATATCAATTGAAACAAAATTCCACCTAATTAATGGTTCAGATTCACAAATCTTAAACCTCGACATGTTAAATTTTCTCACAAGAGTTTCGTTTTACTTCGAGCAATGCTAGAATAAAAGGACAAATAATTAAAATGATGCAAGGATTTGGTGTTTAATACCACCATGCCAATATGTTTATGTTTTTGTGTATACTAACCATTATTATCGCTTTGATATGAGGGCGTTCGATTCGGTATTCAGATTCTTCGGATCCCATGAAGCCCACAATGACATCAACAAAGTCTTTAGTCCTTTCTCCATTGTTAGATTGAAGATGTTCCTTAATTTGATATTTGAGGTTTATAATTGTTTTGAATATGTATTATATGTGTTGAGGCCCAAAAAAGTCACGAGAAGCCCAAAGACATTTAAACCCCAATATAACATAAAATGTCGGTCATGCGTTGATCCAAGCTGTATTTTGTGAATTAATTCATTAAATAAATAATAGTGTCCATGCCAAGTGAGGCCAATAATACATTTTTCATATGTCAATCACCTATCAAGCTCACATGAACCCAAGTCATGTGATTTACGGGGCTTGCACAAGGGATTGTGGTGTGGAAGGTTACGGAGGCCTACAAGGCTCACAGAAGCTTTTGGATAATGGAGACTTTGGACTAGCTACTTGGGAGCACCAAAGTCCAAGCCCATTACTTAGAGTTCTCCAATGTGGGTAAGTAAATGATATATTTTCCAAGCATTTCCTTTTATCCATAGGAAATAGTCATTTTCCAAATGCCTAGCTTTATCCGTTGGAAATAAGCCTTTTCCAGCACTCCCTATTACCCATTGGAAACATGCCAATTCCGACACTTCCTTTTACCCGTTGGAAATAGTCATTTTCCAATGCTTAGCTTTACTTGTTAGAAATAAGAATGTCCCAATGCTCCCTTTTACCCATAGGAAATAGACTAGCTCCAACACTTCCTTTTACCTATTGGAAACCAAAGAGAGCCTTCCCCTTCTATAAATTGGGAGGCATTGCCCAAGCAAAATCAACATCTCTTGGTTGCTGCAAGCCTCCTAGCAACCATGAGAACTCACCTTTCTTCAGCTGTTGCAAGCGTTCCAGCAACCATCAACCCCCTTCTTCAGCCATCGGCTCTTCCTTTAGCTGCTGGAGTAGCTGTTGTATTCGTAAAAGGACACAAATTAATGTGCAAACAACCAATTAAAAATACCCGCAAGTGCACGAATCTATTGAGGTATAGATTATGTAAGTACGGGGTCGATCCCAAGAAGAACTGTCGGCTTCCTACAAGTTCTAATTTGAGTACATAAAGAACACTTATTTAACACACCACACATGCACAAAACAAATTGGAAACTAAAAATGAGTAAAGAAGGTAAAAGAAAAGAAACAAAACAAGAAACCAAAGAAAAACACAAACAGGACTTTCTATCACCCTTTTATCACATGTTTATCACCTGTGAACAGTATGTGAATAGTGATGGAGACTGGTCATGAACAGTGACGACCGGTCATTTTTTGGCAGATTGGCTAGCGACCGGTCGCCTGAATAGTAACGACCGGTCGTTTTTGGGCAGATTCGTTTTCTCTGTTTTTCAGTTTCGACCTCTGTCCAATTGTTGACCTATAACTTTCCAACCGTTTGTCCAAATTTCACGTTCTTTATACGGTTGGATTCAACACACAAAAACGAAGAACACAAAGCGAATCAAAATCCAAAACCAAGTACAAACACAGACAAAAAGCGATGACAAAAACACACCACATTTCAAACAATGTAAACACACAAACACAATTTGGGGGGGGGGGGTTGGTTTGGTTC